ACTACTACCAACCAGCGCAATAAAGCACACAGTCGCAGCGGATTCTCAAATGTTAGTTGCTTTCAGGTTTGGCCATCGGCAAGTATCCACATCGCTTCAACATTGCAGACAATCAACAGGACTATCTGACGAGTCTAGGCGTTGAGCGCAGTGCGCTCAATATAGGCCTAAGCTTATAACATCCCAAGCCAGTACATCCTGATAGTCAGGCACATCAATAGCTCGGTCAAGATTCAGCTTGTATCGCATTCAAATCATAGAAGGTTACTAGACTAACCCATCCGTTGCCGCAGCGGTGGTCAGGTCTGCTTTCACCTCCTACTAGGAATTCACCATTGAAACTGGTCTTATCATAATGAACAGTACTAGATTACACGCGCATTCAATATGCACTTCACCTTTCCCTTCATATAATAGGATTTGGCCATGGGAGGTCATACCCTACGCAAATCAGGAAAAGCGAGCAAGTGAGGGACACAATTCGCGTCCGAATATTTCGGACTTTGATTGGGTTAGGGTTTCCCAACCTGAGTTCGATCCTGGCTGGTTCGTGCGTTACTAGGCATTACAGGCATTACTAGAGGGTGCTACAGATATCAGGCTCATTAGCATTACTAGAGAGTGCCAATGATGTTTTCAAGACATGGATAACTTTGTGACATACTAGTTTAGTCGTTGCGGTGCGGTGTAATCAGCCATCACTGGTCATTACTGCCATACTAGAAGGTGCACGGTTACCTGCCTACTGTGACCAGGCCTACTAGCCATTGCTAGAAGGGTGCCACGGTGTTTCAAGGAAGGGATACCCCACCATTGACATATGGTTTTCGAGTATCGTGTTGAGACACTGGGCTGGGCTACTTACTGAAAGTGGTGCATGGAGATGGAGAATCTGTGTACTGGCACCACACAAGGTCCACATTACTTAGGAACAGCAGGATTTTGATAGCCATTCGCAAAAGTGATTCTGTGCTCGACGCAAAGGAGTTTTGAGTCCCCTACTCCAACATTACTTGGTGTGGATGGGTCCATGCATGATACGCAAAACCGATCCAGTTGGAAAAGAACGCATATGGGTAACTAAATGTGATGCACCTGCCCAGACACGCTCAAGGATGCTCATCGGGGTCAGACACGGACACAGGGGGGTATGTAAGGCATTAGAGCCATTACTAGCCATACCAGAGGTAGCACGGTATTTCACTATATATATTCAGGATCTATCCAACTCTGTGTACTGTCAGGCATGACAGTCGTTACTAGTCATTACTACGGTCTATTCAACTGTGACCATGACCTGCCCTGAACCCAAAACAGACACAGGCATGGGCCATGTCTTTCAAGACCCCACCCTGAACTGCTAGCTGCTCC